TCCTTCATTCTTTTGCTCTTCCTCTTTTTTCTCATTGTCCTCTTCCTTATCAACATTCTCTTTCTCCTCCATCCTTCTTCCTTTCCCATTTCTTTTTCTTCATTCTCCTCATGCTTTTTCTCCTCACTCGTTCTTCCTCCCAATTTTCCTCCCTTTCCTTCTTTTTCTCCTTTGATGCTCCTTCTTCATCTTTTATTTCTCCTTTTTTTTGTATTTCTTCTTACTTCTTTTTCTTCTCCTGATCTTTTTCTTTTTCTTTTCTTTTCCTCTTTCTCCTCCCTGTTTGCTTTCTCCTTATTTTCCTTGTCCTCCTCCTCATCATTCTTTTTCTCCTCTATCCTTCTTCCTCTCTCTTTTCTTCCCTCCTCCTTCCTCTTTTTTCATCTACTTTTTCTTGTTATTCCTCTTCTTCTATTCCTATTTCTTCCTATTCATATCATTCTCCTCCTTTTTTTTCTACTCTTTCTTATTATTTGGATTATTTCCTCCTCCCCCATCTCCTTAATTTTGTTTCTTCTCCTCCTTATTTTCCTCTTCCTCCTCTTTCTTCTCTCATTTCCTCCTTCTTCCTCCTATTCCTTTTTCTTAAACTCTTTCTTATTATTCCTCTCCTTCGTCTTCTTTTTCTATTCCACTTTTTTCCTATTCCTATCATTCTTCTTTTTCTTCCTCTCCACCAATGTATGCCCATCGTTAAAGATTACATTGTATTATTGACTTAGTACTAGTGCTATTTTTCTTCTTCTTATTTTTCTCCTTCATTCTCCTCCTCCTTATTCTTCTTCTTATCCTCTTCTTTCTCCTCATTCTTTCTTCCGCCCAATTTTCCTCCTTTTCCTTCTCTTTCTCCTCCCATGTGAAGCTCTTCTATTTCTCCTTCTTCTACTTCTCTTCTTACTCCTTTTACTTCTTTTTCTTCTCCTCTTTCTCCTACCTCTTTTCCTTCTCAGTGTCCTCCATCTCATTCTCTCTCTTCTATCCTTCTTATTCTCTTTTTTTCTTCTACTCTTTTTATTATTCCTCTCCTTCACCTTCTTCATCTACTCCTCTTTCTTCCTATTCTTATCATTCTCCTTCTTATTCCTTTCCACCAGTGTATGTCCATCACAATAGAGTACTTTGTAATATTGACTTAGTTTTATTCTTCTTCTTCACTCCTCCTCTTTCATTCTTCTTTTTCTTTTTCACTTTCCTTGTGTTCTTTCTCCTTTTCCTTTTTCTTCTCCTTTTCTTTCCCCAATTCTGTTTTAGTTTGTGTTCCTGAAAGCCACCATAAGTTTTGGGGAAAACTCTATTTTGCCCCCTAAAACATACAGAAAATCTCTGTGTGCCTCCCAAATGATTAATTTTTCCACATTGTCCCCTTAAAAAAATTAAAATATTTCAATGTTATCCATCGTCTCATTTCTTTTTTTTTTCCATTTGGTCATCCGTCTGTTTTGTAATTTCTGATTGGTTGATTTGGTACAAAACAGATGGACGTCTAAATGGAAATAAGATGGTAGATCATATTGCAACGTATTTATTTAAATGAGTGAGCAATATGGGATAATTAATCATTCTGGGAGCAAAATGGGATTGACCCTAAATTTGATCTTTCAAGTAACTTCTCTTGTCCACTTCTTCTCCCTCTCCTTTTTACTCCTTTTTCCCCTTTTACTTCTCAAATTCTGTTTTAGTTTCTATTTCTCACAATTCACCAACGTTCCTCAGATTAGCCATAAATTTTAATCTTTCAAGCGACTACTCTTCTTCTCCTTCTCCTTTTCCTTTTTCTTCTCATTCTTCCCCTTTCCATTCTCTTACTCTCTTTCTTATCCTTCTCTTCCTATTTATCCTTCTTTTTCTCCTCCCTTATTCTTCCTCTCATTTTCCTCCTCCTGTTTCTTCCTCCCAATTTTCCTCCACATTTTCTTTCCTTTCTCCTCCCTCTTCTTTCTTCCTCATCCTTCTTTTTCTTCTACTGTTTCTTATTATTTGGGTTATTTCCTCCTTCTCCATCTCTTTCATTATTATGAATCGATTCTACATTAAAGAAAGAATTGAATATTCATTGATCAAATCAATCACTCTATGGTCTGTTTCTTCTCCTCCCTCTTTTCCTCTTCCTTCTCTTTCTCATTGTGCTCCTCTTTATCATCATTATCTTTCTACTTCTTCTTGATTTTTCTTCTCCTCTCTACTTCTTCTTCCTCCTCCTACTCCTTTTTCTTAAACTCTTTCTTATTATTCCTCTGCTTCATCATCTTCTTCTACTCCACTTTCTTTTTATTACTATCATTTTCCTCTTTCTACCTCTCCACCAATGTATGCCCATCGTAAAAGAGTAGTTTGTAATATTGACTTGTGCTTTTTTCCTCACTCTTTCCAATTTTTCTCCCTTTCCTCCTCTTCCTCCTCCCTCTCCGTCATTCTGTTTCTTCTCATCCTCATTTTCCTTCTCCCCCTCCTTCATTCTTCTCCTTCCCTTTTTCCTATTTTTGATTGTCCTCCTTATCACCATTCTCTTTCTCTTCCATTCTTCTTCCTCTCATTTTCTCCTTCTTCTCCCTCCATCTTCCTCCTGATTCTTCTCCTCGTCCTCCTCTTTCCTTTCTCCTTCTTCTTCCTCCTACTCCGTTTTTTCTTAAACTCTCTTATTTTCGTCTCCTTCATTTTCTTCTTCTGCTCCACTTTCTTCTTATTCCTATCATTCTCCTTTTTCTTTCTCTCCACCAATGTATACCCATCGTAAAAGAGTATTTTGAAATATTGACTAAGTGCTATTCTTCTTTTTTTACTCTTTCTTTATTTTTATCCTCCTCCTCACTCTTTTCCCTCACTTATTCCTCCCAATTTTCCTCCTTTTCCTTCTCTTTCTTCCTATTCCTTTTACTTTTTTTTCTCCTTATCCTTCTCCTTCATTCTTCTCCTCCCCCTTTTCCTCATTTTCTTTCTCATTGCCCTTCTCCTTCTCATCATCATTCTCTTTCTCTTCTATCCTTCTCTCTTTTCTTCTTTCTCCTCCTCTCTCCTTCCTCTTTTTTATTCTACTTTTTCTTAGTGTTCCTCTCCTTCACCTTCTTCTTTTTTATTCTACTCTTTCTTATTGTTCCTCTCCTTCACCTTCTTCTTCTTCTTCTTCTTTGTCTTTTTCTTTTTCTTTTACTCCTTTTTCTTTTCCACAAATTTATGTCCATTGCAATAGAGTACTTTGTGATATTGATTTAGTGTTAGTGGTCTTTTTCTGCATCTCCTCCTCGTTCATCCTTCTCTTTCATATTCATCTTCTTTCTCTCCTTCCTTCTGTTCTTTCTCCTTCTTTTCCTTTTCCTTCTCCGATTTTTTTTTTGTTCCATAAACCCACCATAAATTTTTGAAAATTTTCATTCTGCCTTCTAAAAGATACAAAAATTCTCAGTTTGCTTCCCAAATGATTAATTTTCCCACATTGCTCCCTTAAAAAAATTAAAATATTGCAATGTGATCCACCAACTCATTTTTTTTTCTTTTTTTTTTTTTCATTTGGTCATTTGTCTGTTTTGTAATTCCTAATTAATTGATTTGGTACAAAACAGATGGCCGAACCACGAAAATAAAATGGTAGACCACGTTGCAACGTTTTTATTTCTTTGAGGGGACAATGTGGGAAAATTAATCATACTGGGGGCAAAATTAAATTGACCATAAATTTGGATCTTTCGAGTGATTTCTCCACTACACCTTCTTCCTTCTCCCTCTTCTTCCTTCTCTTTTTTGTCCTTTTCTTTCTCCGATTTTGTTTTAGTTTTTGTTTCTCATAATTCACTAATGCTCCTCAGAACGACCATAAATTTTAATTTTTTGAGTGACTATTCTTCCCTTCTTATCCTTCTCTTTCTCCTCCCTCATTCTCTCTCTTGTTTTCCTCTTACTTCTCATTACACTCTTTTTCTCCTCACTTCTTTTTCCTCTCGATTTTTCTCATTTTCATTCTCTTTCCCCTCACATGTTCCTTCTCCCTTATTCCTACTCATCTATTTCCTCATTTTCTTTCCCTTCTCTCTCTTTCTTCTTTCTCCACCTTTTTCTTCTATTATTTCTTATTATTTGGGTTGTTTCCTCCTCTTCCTCCTTATGCCTCTCCGTCATTATGTTTCTTGTCCCTCCTCTCTCCTTGTTCATTTTTGTTTTTTGGTGAACCTCGACGGTGCGAGGGGAATTTCATTGATTAAAAATTAAATTATACCTAACTAGGGGGGACGTATGTACCTTACCCCTCGATGCAATCTAATTATATTAAAAGAATAAGAATTAAAATAAACCAAGCTAAATGCATGCGTGATACAATAAGATAATGAGATAAAATAAATACTATGCATGCTATTAATAAGTATTAGCTCCAGCCGAGATGATTTAAATGAGGTGATAGTAACAGCTTCCTCAAGAAAGATATGAGCTGAGAGAGACAGCTGAGGAACCAATGCAAGCCATGAGCAGCAGCCATGTTGAGCTGAGAGGATCCAGAATGAGCCACGAGCAGCAGCTGTTTTAAGCTTGGTGACGAGCTGGAACAGTGGTTGAGCTGTGGGGTTGCTAAGTTGTCAGAGAGGGAAGCTATCAGATAAGGAAAATAAATCGACTTCCTTGGACAACTAAAGGTCAGATGATAAGCTATTTGGTTTGGCAGATGAAGAGACGATATTGAGATGCTGTTCTGCTTCTCTGATCTCTGATAACGCCTGTATAGACAAAGTGCATAGAGATAGAGAGTCTCTGCCTTGGAGGCCTTATACCAGAACTGTTGCAGAGCAAATTTCTTCCCCATTTTGACGATGTAGAAGATGAATATCCAGCAAGAGAGAGCCATAGTTACAAAGCCCTTCTGACCAGTTAGAAGATATGGCCAGTGAGTGAAGAATGAGAGGCCAAATGCACTGATTAAGATGAAGCAGCGGCAAAGACCAATGTAGAATATAAAGCCCATAGATCTGAAGAGCAAGAACCCCAACAGTCGGAAGCATCAGTAGTCTTCCGTTGCTTCAGAGTCNAGATGAAGCAGCGGCAAAGACCATTGTAGAATATATAGCCCATAGATCTGAAGAGCAAGAACCCCAACAGTCGGAAGCATCAGTAGTCTTTGGTTGCTTCAGAGTATTAAGAGAGAAAGCCAAGAGGCAAGATGAACAACCAGATGGAGACACCAAAAAATCTCCATGAACAGACAATTGAGAACCTGGAAAAGACAATCGCCAATAGAAAATGTCCAGCAAACACTCATTGAAAACTAGATCCAAGCAGTTAGATGAGTAGCCAGAAGGGGACACTAGAGAAAAGAAAGGCCGCCTTAAAGAAAACCTCAAAATCCAGAATACCTTTGAGCCATAGAACAGAGATTAAGGGAATTATAGCAGCCTCAGCAGAGCAAACAGAGCCCATAAACTTTGTCAAGTTACTACCCCAATAATACCAAAATCCAATTACATCCTGAGGTAACCAGGTGCCTACTATATTTTTTACTTCTTGATCGTCTTTACTTCTGGAGAGAATATCATGTATAAGACTGGACTGTATAAACAGACTGTATTGCTTGTTTGAGATTTTGATGGATGTGCATGCATTTCTGAAACATATTGAGACATAATTCTGATCTGCCTTAATGAACCTGACATGCATATCTGTATGTTGCATCATAAAACACCTAGTTGATGACTTCAACCTTAGAGTGCAAAGATTTAATCTGTCTCTGATCCTGTAGTAGTAGTTGTCGCATATGTAGATGAAGGGAATTAGGATAGGAGTGAATATGAGAAGCATTGTTGCAGACTCCTTGATTGGCCAAAGAGTCTGCAATTGCATTCCCTTCTCTATAAGTATGCTGTATTCGATAATCAAAATTTGCAGAATAGAAAAAATCTTCTGAGAAAGAGCCCAAAATTTCCAAGACCATTTATCATTCTGTTTGATCAAGTCCACAAGAACCTGAGTATCTGTTTCTATGATCAAAGGATAGACTTCTAACCCATAATCCTTCACAAGAAGTAGACCATCCAATAGTGCAAGGACTTCAACTTCCATGTTTGAGCAAGTTCCATAGTAGTATGAACCAGCTAGAACCATTTGACCCCATTCATTTCGTAAAACCACACCACCTCCAGCAGGACCTGGATTGCCCTTTGAGGCACCGTCAGTATTTAGTTTAAGAAAACCAGGAAGAGGGAAATTCCAACAAATTCATTTAGCACTCTTACAAACCACCATAGACAACTTGACACNAAACCAGGTAGAGGGAAATTCCAACAAATCCATTTAGCACTCTTACAAACCACCGTAAACAACCTGACATTAGAGATTGAAGCATAAATTTCTCAAAAGCAGTATCAATAGCTTTGGGTTTGAAAATGCTTGTCTGTAACCTGAGCCGATGAAGAATAATGGAGACCAAAGAGATTAGAGACTGCTTTTGATTTTCAAATACTCTAAAACACCGCTCCTTCCATAGTTGCCNATAGAGACCAAAGAGATTAGAGACTGCTTTTGATTTTCAAATACTCTAAAACACCACTCCTTCCATAGTTGCCAGTAAACCAGCAAGGATATAGCTCTTATCAAAACATGATTTCTTGATTGCCTAGGATGAGTCCTGCACAATCTGATGAATCTGGATAGTGGGGTCTCTGAAGGGAATACCTGAAACCCAAACATTCCAGCAATTCTGTACCAAAGCTGCAAACTTAATTGACAAGAAATAAATAAATGATTAGCTGATTCATCCTCACAGTAGCATAAACGACATCTACTAGCCAATGAGACTCCCAAAGATTTGAAATTTAAATCCAATGGGAGTGCATTCTTCATGAGCTTCCACCCAATTAACTGCGCACTAGGAGTCCAGTGCTGCTTCCAAATACTAATGGCATGTTCATCCTTTGGACTCCTTCTCCTAGTTAATTCCCAAGCTGTTTTGATAGAGAAATCCCCCAAAGCAGAGGGCTGCCAAATCAGGTTGTCCTCTTTGTCAGAGAGTACAACTCCAGATGATTGAACCTCTTGCAATAGATTCTGATCCAATAGATTAATCACACTTTGAAGCTGCCATTGACCTTGGACCAGCAGTTCAGATAATTTAGGGTAGAAAACTGGGATAGTTGAGTTCCTAAGAAGGAGAGAACCCCCACCCGTCCAATTGTCACACCAGAAATCAACATTTGGACCCACAAGTTTCCTAGAATTGTTAACCATGACTTCAAACCAAGGANGAAGGAGAGAACCCCCACCCGTCCAATTGTCACACCAGAAATCAACATTTGGACCCACAAGTTTCCTAGAATTGTTAACCATCACTTCAAACCAAGGAGAGAGTGATGTGTAACATCTTGAATGCGCCTGGGTGTTGTGCAATAATAAATGTTTGCCTCCTAAATACTTAGTCGAAAAGAATGAAGACCAAAGGGAATTATTCTGTAGAAGGTTCCACACTTGTTTCATTCTAAATGAGCTCTGCACATCCTCAAATTTCCTAATTCCCAAACCTCTATCCTCCAATGGCAAAGTAATAGACTCCCAAGATGCCAAATGTNTTTTTTCTCCTCTTCCTCCTCATCATCGTCATCATCATTCTCTTTCTCCTCTATCCTTCTTCCCTTCTCTTTTCTTCCTTCTCCTCCTTTTATTTCCCTTCTCCTCCCTCCTTCTTGCTTATTTTTCTTCTACTCTTTCTTATTGTCCCTCTTCTCCTACTCCTCTTTCTTCCAATTCTTCTCATTCTTCTTCTTCATCATTTCCACCAATGTATGCCCATTGCAAAAGAGTACTGTGTAATATTGACTTTGTATATTCTCCTTCTTCTATTCCTCCTCCTCCTTCGTTTTTCTCTTCCTTATTCTTCGATTCTTTCTCCTTTTACTTTTTCTTCCCCGATTCTGCTTTAGTTTCTATTCCTCGTAATTCCCTAATATTCATCAAAGCCATCAAAAATTTTGGAAAAAATTCCATTTTCCTCCCTAAGAGATACAAAAATTCTCAGTTTGCCTTTGAAATGATTAATTTTTCACATTGCCCCTTAAAAAAATAAAAATGTTGTAATGTAATCAATTGTCTCATTTTTTTTTCTCATTTGGTTGTTCATCTATTTGTACAAAGTAGATGGATGACCATACGAAATAAGACGATGGACCGCATTGCAACGTTTTTATTTATTTGATAGAGCAATGTAGAAAAATTAATCATTCTAGGGGCAAATTGAGCATTTTTGTTGACCATAAATTTCGATCTTTTGAGTTAATTCTCTTCTTTGCTTCTTCTCCATCTTCCTCAACTTTTCCTCCTCTTCTTCCTTCTCCCTTTCCTTTTTCTACTCCTTTTTCCCATTTCCTTTTCTGTTTTAGTTTTTGTTTTTTGAAGTTCACCAATATTCCTCAGAGTCGCCATAAATTTTAATCTTTCGGGTGATTACTCTCGTCTTTCTCCTTCTCCTTTTCTCCTCATTCTTCCCTTTTTCATTCTCTTCCTCCTCTTATCCTTATCTTCTTATTTATCATTCTCGTTCTCCTCCCTCTTATTCTTATCCTCCTCTTTCTCTCCACTTCTTCTTCCTCCCAATTTTCCTTCTCTTTCCCCTCTCATGCTCCTTCATTGTCTTCTATTTTCTCCTCATTTTCATTCCTTTCTTTTCCCTCTTCCTCTTCCTTATCCTTTTTTTTCTTCTACTCTTTCTTATTATTTGGGTTATTTCCTCCTCCCCCTCCTCTTTTATTTTTCTCCTTCCCCTTTTCCTATTTCTCATAGTCCTCCTCCATGTTTCCATTCTCTTTCTCCTCCATCCTTCTTCCTCTCTCATTTTCTCCTTGCCCTCCTCTTTTCTTTCTTTCTCCTTCTTCCTCCTCCTCCTTTTTCTTCAACTCTCTTATTATTCCTCTCATTCATTTTCTTCTTATTTCTATCATTCTCCTTTTTCTTCCTGTCCACCGATGTATACCCATCGTAAAAGAGTATTTTGAAATATTGACTTAGTGCTATTCTTTTTTTTTTTTCTCTTCATTTTCCTCCTCCTCCTTACTCTTTCCACTCGCTCCCTCTTCCTCCCAATTTTCCTCCCTTTCCTTCTCTTTCTTCTCCCATGCTCCTTTGTCCTCTTCTATTTCTCCTTTTTCTGCATCTCTTCCTATTCCTTTTACTTCTTTTTTTTATCCTCTTTTTCTCCTCATCCTCCTCCTTCATTCTTCTCTTCTTTCTCCTCCCCCTTTTCCTCCTCATTTTCTTTCTCATTGCCCTATTCCTCCTCATCTTCATTCTCTTTCTCTTTTATCCTTCTTTCTTTTCTTCATGCTCCTCCTCTCTCCTTCCTCGTTTTTTATTCTACTCTTTCTTGTTGTTCCTCTCCTACACCTTCTTCTTTTTCTTTTACTCCTTTTTCTTCCTATTCTTAACATTCTCCTTTTTCCTTCCACAAATTTATGTCCATTGCAATAGAGTACTTTGTGATATTGATTTTGTGTTAGTGTTCTTCTTCTCCTCCTCCTCATTCATCCTTCTCTTCTATATTCTTCTCCNTCTTTTCCTTGTATTTGTCTTATTAGACCACATAAAAGAAGACATAGCAGAATTCATTCTAGCTATGATACCCTTAGGCAGGTTCAGAGAAGCTAGCAGATGTATAGGGAGGGAACATAGAACCGATTTGATAAGGACAACCCTACCCATATTAGAAAGAAGTTTAGCATACCAACCCTCCAACTGTGATTGAAATTTCTTCAATATATCTTCGAAATAGAGTAGCTTGACTCTCCCCCTAATAATTGGACAACCCAAATAGGTAAGAGGTGATTGCTTAAGAGGGATGTTTGCAACCTGTGATAACATATTTCTCCTTGCAACTGAGGTTTTAGAAGAGCAATAGAGTGAGCTCTTCTGCTTGTTCACTCTAACCAGATGATTGCTCATACCTCCCCACAAATTTCAACAGATTAGTCATGGACCTCTTACGCCCCTTCAAAAAAATGAGAGTATCATCCGCAAACAGTACATGACTTAAGAGCCCTACCTGTGTGATATCCTTCTATTGATCCTTGCTCAAATTGGAACCTCAAACCTCTGCTCAATACCTCCTCTGCTAGAATAAAAAGAGAAGGTGATAATGAATCACCTTGTCTTAATCCTCTCGAACTAGGAAAGAAGCCATGCCAAACACCATTTATAGTCAAAGAAATATTCTGATGATTCAGACAATTAGAAACGATGGCAACAAAGTCTTTGGAAAATCCAAAACTCTTCAATGTTTGTTTCAAAAAATCCCACTGCAGTCTATCAAATGCCTTCAATATGTCCAGCTTGACAATAGCATTCCCGGCCTCCACCTTTCTGTCTAGTTCATTCATCATAAACTAGGCAAGGACAATACTATCACTCCTAGTTCTGCCCCGGACGAAACCTTGTTGCTCCTTTGAGATAAGCTTAGGCAGCAAACCACTAAGTCTAGTTGGTAACAGCTTAGTGAAGATTTTGTATAAAAAATTACAAAGACTAATGGGCCTAAAATCAGCAAATGTCAATGGAATGTCCTTCTTGGGTATCAAAGACAGAATAGTGGCATTAACTGATTGTGGTATCACTCCGCCTTGCAAGAAAAAATTAACAACATCCAAAATGTCACACTTAATGACTTCCCAAGCAGTTTGAAAGAACTTACCTGAAAAACCATCAGCACCCTGCGCACTTTGAATAGACATACCGAAGACGATAGACTTGAGTTCTTCCATGGTAGCCGGGGAGGTGAGCTTTAAGTTTTCTTCCAAAGTGACCAAATTAGGTATGTGACCAAATAACTCAGGGTCCATTATGTGAGCCTTCGATTTATAAAGTGCAGAAAAGAAATCCACAGCACTGCTAGCGATTGCATCTTCCTCCTCTAACCAGTTCCCTTCATCATTTTTAATTCTTGAAATTCAATTTTTTGCTACTTTGCCTCTTGTGATGGCATGGTACAATTTGGTGTTCCTTTTTCCTTCGAGTGCCCCTTTCATATGTGCCTCCAATACATTTCCTTTAACCGTAGAACTCCTACCAGCTCCACTTTTGCA